AAGCCACTCTGCATGAGCTTCTGGCTCTAGATCTAATAATGGCAAATCCCAAGCTGTGACAGAATGTAGCATTTACAGACCATGTAGTGGGCGTTAATAAGTGAGTGGGGCATGATGAGTGCATTTTCATGAATCCCTACCCAAAACCAGGCAGCCATTTCTTGGCAGATATGAAAACCAGTATAGGGAAATAGGAATGTGCAAATTTAGATTAAATAACTCAAAACAGGGTCAGAATGGCAAGAAGCATGTATACATTGCAGAATAATACAAAACAGATTATGAAAGCTGCACAAACATGGACTCTTACAGCAATATGTCTGTGATGTAGTCAGGGTAACATGGCTGCAAAACATGGGTAATGTGGCAGCAAAACATACTCTCTATAAGACTCTAAGGTGTGCGTAAGATGAGTAGGTTCTCTTCACATTCCAAACACCCCCTTCCACTTCATTTCTGCTGCTAAATTGAAACATAAATATCCAAAAGGGAAACAGAAAATATAAAGAAAGTTAAGAAAAAGATAAAGCAATTAGTAAATTTTAGGGACCCGTCTATTGATTTGCAGTAATGCATGTTAAGACAGTGTAAATCAACACACGACTCTAGCCACTGTGCCATTCATTGCAATAGGGACACTAATGCACTGTACAGTAGGTGCCAAGGCACAATGCACAGATGTATCAATCACTGTGGTGCATGTTCATTGAGGTGTTTTGGAGGCCTATTAATAATGAAGTGGCCTCCTAACACAACATGTTAATGCACATGCATTACTGCAAAAAAACTACAATAGTCTATAGAGGTCAGAACGGGCCCCTAGAACTTGGTGCTGTCCCCTTACAATACTGGTAAGTAGTTTACATTATTCCTAAGCCTGAATCAAACTTACATTTTAAGGGTGTCATATAGGGACATTTTTAGGCAGAAAATGTAAAAACTGCTCAGATGAGTGTTTACATGTGAACGGTGACAGCACCAGCCATAGATGTGTATAGAGTACAACTCTGACTGCCACTGCTAACAGTGTGTGCAGGCAGCATTTACAACCGCCAGCAGGAATCTACTGGTTCTTGCCAGCTACTGCCCTGGTCGCTGCTATTCAGCCATCTGAATATAGCCTTTTGCCCTCATTCACACTGGACGTTTTTACAACGGCTGGTTTTGGCTTTTGACGTTTTTTTCTACAGCCAGTAAACCCCCCAGCATGTTATCCTATGTGTCCATGCATACATAGACTGTAGTGAACGTTTTTTGGCTTGGACATTTTTTTGGCTGGAAAAAAAAACCCCAGGACTAGTGGGTTTCTAGAGGAGATTTTTTAGCTGTAAAAACGTTCTAATGTTGAAAAAAAATGTGGTAAAACGCCACAAACCGCGTTTGTGGAGCGAAAAAAAAAATTATTTTCGGTTAAAAAAAACCTGCTAAAAAACTGAAAATGCAGGAAAATGCGGGAATAAGCTGCTAATCCCAAAAAAATGTTGCTGAACGCTAATGAAAAAAACGATAAAAAAAAGCTGAAAAACTCACGTTTTAATGTGACTGTACACAGCTAAAGTTACCAGCGTTATCAAAATGTCAAAATGTCCAGTGTGCATGAGGGCTTAACTGATCTTCTCTTCAACATAATTACAGCTTTGTGAGATAACAATATACCACAGATTTACAGAAACAGGCTGCTAGACTGGCAGCGACAACCAGAATACTGCTAGAAAATTTCTAGAGCAGGCTAGGAAGCATACTGAACATCTGATTGGTTGATGGGCTAAGCAGTCCTTTTTCAGCTTTTTCTTCCACGTTTTCCTATTGCTTGTAATTATGTACTGATTTAAAACCCAACTGTAAAATATTGGCAATATGTTAAAAAACATGCATGTTAACAAGCACTCCTGCAATGCACCTGATCTGTCTACACTGTATTGTGGTGCCCTTCATTGTAAATGGCACCCAGAATGCACTGTATAGTAGAGTGCAGTGCACAACGCTACACATACCATGCATTATGGTGTGGTGCAATGGCAAATGAGGGTGTAGCAAGTGTACACCCAGAGATGGAAGCGTTTCAACCATGTTGCTCCAATCTCCATCTTGGCAAAGGATCAAGCATCTTGTACAAACATATCTGTCCTCATTCTCCCCCTTCTTCTCTGTTCATACACAGGGACATATGGCCTGTGTGTTAGAAGTGTCACAGGCCGTGCAGGGCACAGCAGGGGCTCAGAGCTATAAACCAACTCTGAGCTGAAGTACCTGGTTGTCTAAGAGAGTTGTGCAATCTAGTACATCGTAAAGGATAACCCAAGCCTTCCCAGGAGTTCAAAGACCTTCCAGAGGAGTAAGAACCAGATAACATTTTTTAAAATCCATTTTTCCCCTATGTCTCATATCTTGGAATATGAGAGACCTACATAAAAACCAGGTATATCTTCAGATTGGCAACAAGAAGACAAACAGTTTGATAGGTCACACTCCCTGACTGGAATACCTAGGAAAGCAGAAAATTACATCTCTGGAACCCTTCAAATATGTATTTCATATTTCATATCTACCCGTTCCTCAGATGCGTCTGCATAGTAATCTACCCACGGGTGGAATGTCACTTGCACATAGGAAAAGTTATGAGCCAAAATATGAACTATTAGAGATTTTGGCTCTAGTTTAGGTCTACGCCCAGACCTTCCCTCCCTAAACGGGGCATTGGTCCTTGACTTCAGAGACACCCCTGCTGGGGAATTACAAAATGGGCTGTCAGGCCTAAGAGAGCTAAGTTGAAGAATTCTCCTGTTTAACATCAGAACCAACTTGGGAGACAACCCTTTCGCTCTGAAACTTTATCTGCAAACCCAAGACTGATTGGCAAGTACTTTAAACCTTTAACCTCCTTTCTGTTTCTTCTTTTCTGTGCTGTTGTTCTCTGTATATTTATATATATATTGGTTACATCTTTTTTCTGTAAATATTTTTATTGCACCCTTTTGACCTTTTAGTAATAAATCTTACTTGCTGAAAGTGTTGAACTATTTCTATAGCTTGTTAATGCAATTTATGAATTCCTGCCTCTAAAAGAGCGCTACTGCGTTTGTTTACCCTCTGTATAACCACTCTGTAGTGACAGTGTTATACAGACGATTACCTCAACCATCATAGTGTTATTGCTGAGATTGCTGAGTTTCCTCTTTCTCTGTACAAAAAGGAGGTGGTGGCAGTGTGAAGAGTTAATTGCGTAATTAACCTGACCCAGTAACAATCGCTCCCAGGCTGCCGGTACATCGATTGTGGTCCAATTATCTGAAAAATCGTTGTGCAGGGTGCAGCTGGGCGTGGCATTGTTACGCACGTGACATCGCAGTTTTAGATTGGCTAGTCCTTCGGTCACGAGTTTGGTGAGAAGATCAGGGGTCTGATGCCACATTCGTCACAGAGGGTGATGTACATTTTTTCATAAGTCCTGATGTTCATGATGCCCATTCATAATGGCCGTTTGTGTGCATTAATGCGCCACAGCTGATTGGTATAGTGTGAATCAGCTGTCAGAGTTAGGGAATATATTAGAGCACGGGTGTCAAACTGGCAGCCCTCCAGCTGTTACCAAACTACAAATCTCATGAAGCATTGCAAGATTGATAGTTACAAGCATGACTCCAAAAGGCAGAGGCAGGATGGGACTTGTAGTTTCGCAACAGCTGGAGGGCCGCCAGTTTGAAACCCCTGTATTAGAGCATTTGTCCCTTTTTTATTGATGTGTACATGAAGAAATTTTCTGTGTATTTCATGGATGTGCGATAGAATAAGACAGAACAGGAAATGGGGAGAAATCACATTCGAACACAGACAATAAACAATGTATTAGAATTGTGAAGGGTTAGAGTCTCTGTCAATTTTGACTGAAATTTTTGTCTCAGTTGAACAGATGTCTTTTCACTGACTGTTCATGTAACACAGTACATAAAATAAATGGAAATCTATGGACAGGAACACAAAAGTTAAAACTAAGTATTGTGATTTTGACAAAATTGATTTCACTATTGGCAAAATTTACCCAAAACAGACACACCCAAATTTGCTCATTTAGCTGCTTTGGCAAAAACAATAAAAATAGCTACTTTTTTCTTTTTTCATGGGATGTGTTTAGGCTAGTTTGGTTTACTAAATACAGTATTTTTGTATGTTTTTCCTTTTGTTGTGTATTTGATGACATTTGTGTACTTCCACTTTAAATGCTTTATTTTACCATTTTCTCTGTTATGTAAAAAAAGGTTGTATTTTGGCAAAAAAGATTTTTGTAACCCACTATATCGTGAAAAACCTTCAAAAGCCACTTTATTTTCATCTGTGCCAATTAAGTACAAAGCGCTATACCACAAATGTAAAATTTTGTCAACTTCTCCTGATTTTTGCCAAAAGTTTGGGGAACTGAAAACTCTTGATTTCATTCATTTCTTTTGCTTGAGGTGATTGTAGCCGTATTAGTGCACTTGCGACAGAAACAATTGAGTACTGACGTAATACTTTTTTTATTTGCACTATCATACAATTTTGAGGACAAGCTTTCGGGGTATGTCCCCTTCTTCAAGGTCCAGGCAGTACTACTACATAAAGTTTTAGCAGAATGTTAGAAGAGATGTTGAAAGGGGGAGAGAAAAAAAAAAACAGACAGAAACGCACACAAACAAATGTACACAGCAATGGTTATAAGACTAGGATTAGACTAGAGATAAGACACAGCAAAAGCAAAGACTGGTGGGTGGGGAAACAACACTCACAGAGGGGGTCGTAAAACTGTTTGATAATGATTGAGGAATCCCATGTCCAAATTCAGGCCGTTATCTCTTGTGTCAAATAGAATTATCATTCTTAGTTCAAAGGTTTTCCTTTCCTGAATAGATTTGCAATTTCCTTTAAGAACTAAAATATTGAGGTCTTCCATAGTGTGGTTTGGTTTTGTGAAATGGTGTCCCACAGGTGTGCAAAAGTCATCTTCTTTATGTTCCTTGATGGTATGTCTGTGCAAATTCATCCTTGTTTGCAACTTCTGTCCTGTTTCGCCAACACAAGATCCTTTGCTACATTTTCTGCACTGGATAAGGTACACAACATTACTATCCGGAAATATTGAAGTTTTGAGTGTTTGATACTTTTTGATGGATTGATTTGGTTGCACAGTTTGCGTTTTTTATTGCAGGGTTTGCTTCCATTATTTGTGACATCTTGATCAGAAGGAAGTCTCCTACTGATTAGTTTATTTCTGAGGTTGGGGGGTTGTCTGAAAGCCAGTATTGGTGGTTGCTGGAATATTTCTTTCAGAGTTCCATCCTCTGTTATGATGGGTTGTAAATCTTTGATTATTTTTCCTATTCCTTCTAGTGCTGGGTTGTATGTGGTCACTAGAGGTACACGTTTGTTTGTTTTTTTCTCTTTGTACTGAAGAAGATTTTCTCTTCGGGTTCTCTCCCCCTTTCAACATCCCTTCTAACATTCTGCTAAAACTGTGCAACCAAATCAATCCATCAAAAAGTGTCAGACACTCAAAAGGGATCTTCAATATTTCTGGATCATACAGCTGCACTTCTGGCAATGTTGTGTACCTTATCCAGTGCAGAAAATGTAGCAAAGGATCGTATGTTGGAGAAACAGGACAGAAGTTGCAAACAAGGATGAATTTGCACAGACATACCATCAAGGAACATAAAGAAGATGACTTTTGCACACCTGTGGGACACCATTTCGCAGAACCAGGCCACACAATGGGAGACCTCAATATTTTAGTTCTTAAAGGAAATTTCAAATCTATTCAGGAAAGGAAAACTTTTGAACTAAGAATGATAATTCTATTTGACACAAGAGATAACATGGGATTCCTCACTCATTATCCAACAGTTTTACGACCCCCTCTGTGAGTGTTGTTCGCCCCCCCACCAGTCTTTGCTTTTGCTGTGTTTTATCTCTAGTCTAATTCTAGTCTTGTTTGTGTGTGTTTCTTTCTGTTTTTCTTTTCTCTCCCCTTTCAACATCTCTTTAAACTTTCTGCTAAAACTTTGTGTAGTAGTACTGCCTGGACCTTGAAGAAGGAGACATACCTCAAAAGCTTGTCCTCAAAATTGTATGATAGTGCAAATAAAAAAAGTATCACGTCAGTACTCTCTATCACGTCAGTACACTCATTTCTTTTAAAACCACTATAGATTTCAAAGGCTAAGTGCACCTTTTTGGAGCACTCCCATATATATGCTCTAGTGGTTCCTTCCCCACATCACTTGACCTCCCCCCCTTCCCATAACAGCGGGCACGGATTCCCCACTGTCACTTTTCAAGCACAGCCATCTGCAAAAATATGTGCATTCATTATGTTTTTAACTTATCATTTAAACCTTTACCACTCTGTCCAAAATACAGAAAAAATAAAACATTTGGACTGGAGTTGGGCTTTAATATTAAAGGGATTCTGGGAGAAAAGAAAAGAAAAAGAAATGAAAGTAGGGACTACCACTTCTAATTAGTCTTTTAAGGTGCAACTTTCAGGGTACAAGCCTGGTTTGCATGCAGGGTAGGTTTTCATGCTTCAATGGCTGTAGGCCTGTTCCAAGTCATTGACACAATTGATAGTAAAGCAAAGATGAGTATGATAGCCATTTACTATTAAAAACTCATGTTTTTTATAGCAGATTCTCAATATTCTATCATTAAAGATTCCATTTATAAATACATTATCTGTCACAGAATGTAGCACGTAAACAGCTTCTACACATCTATTTGCTGCACCTAGCAAAACGAAAGGGAACATTCTTTATAAAAATAGTTCTAGTGCTGCTCATAACTTATATTACAACAGAGTCCTGTTCGACTTTAGATTATTACAGCTGACCTCTGAATATTATGCTACTTATATATACTGTATCATTCTTATACTCCAAACAGTTTAACGGCATACTTTGGTTTACGCGAGATCCTCCTTGCAAAAAAAGGTGAAATACTTCTTATCAATGGAGCAGCTGGGGCTGTGGGATCCATAGCTGGCCAAATAGGAAAAATCATTGTGAGTAATTTTAGTAATAATAGCCTTTTACTACTGTATACATCACAACTGTCATATTATACAACCGGCTACTCAATCGGCTCATATACTGTAGCTTTTACTGTCATGTATGGCAAAACACATATTTAACTTCAGAAAAGAACATTTTTTGCCTTTTAGCACAGCATCAGTGGACCTGAACTAGAATTGTAAAGATATGCTATATTATAGAGAGCATCTAAATATGTAAATTGTGCCTTAGTAGAACCCTGAAGCCCATTTATACTGTCACTGTCAGATGTGTTGCATCAACACACATGCATTAAGTTGCATGTTATTGTGTGTTGCATTAAAAAATCCCTTTAAGTTGAATGCATTGGCAACATACCAGAGCACACTAAAAAGCGGACGTACCATTTTTTGGCAGCAAAACCACAACACACAGTAGTATGGTAACCTACATTGCACTTCAGTGCAGTTAAACAAACTACAATAAAAAGGTCTGGTTTAGACTCTACCGACTGAAAAAACTTTTATCAAAGAAGATATAAAAATTTAATATGAAAAGTTTTTGCATCCATATTAAAACTGTTCAAAGGCTCCAATAAATTACTGCACATCACAAACATTTTAATAATGCTCTATCAAATCATTAAAATAATTGGCCAAACATAAAATAACTAACAAAAATAACAAAAACTAGATTGCAGTTGCCTTAGGAAGGTGTGTTAGGGTGCCATTAAGATTGAATGGCACCACATCTCACCACGGTGCTTAACACACATTACCCTGCACTGAGTAATGCACACTTTCCCATACCACTGTAAGTAAGGACCTTAGACTTTACGCCCCTTGAGGGTTAGGGACTGATATGAATGTACAATATATATATATATATGTAAAGCGCTGCGTAAATTGATGGCGTTATACAAGTACCTATAATAAATAAACTTGGAGGACAACTTCTTAGATTAAAATGTCAACAATCCAGCAAAAACAACAAAAGAACAAATGGATCTTAGCTTTGTACTCTTCAGGAGTGGCACAATCCCTTCTGACAGATTAGCACACAGTCTTTCAAGGAGCACTTGGACCCCTTAAGTGAACCACCCCTGGCCCCAGTAGAAAATCTCCTCATCCACCTGGCTGCCTCAAGAGTATCCCAGGGCAAGGGATTCCGAGACACACAAAGAATGTAGTCCCAGGGAAAAATAGATGGGCATTGCACCTGACCGCCCTCTCCATTCTTTGGCCAAGGGGGTGTAGATGTACTCGCACTGTCTTGTTCCTGTAGCTTTAAAGGTTGAAGCTGCTTTCAGGCCTTACGCTGGGTTGGCTCCTTCCCTGCTGACAGGCTGTTTTCCCCCAGTAGACTGTGGGACAGTAGAGGTTGCTTTGTCCATCTTCAGCCTGTAGGCAAACCCCTCTTCTATGGGGCCCCCCCTCCCAGGCTCCACACCAACAGCACTTCCTCTAACACCTAACTTCTTGCTGACCAGGCTGTCTCATATTTAAGGGCTAACCTAGCCACCATGCCAGGCCTCTTGCCTGGGGATTGGCCAGATTGCCCTAAGCAGATCAGCCCCTCCTCACCCCCACCCACTGCTTCTATAAACGTCTCCAAGTTTCTAGAGCAGGGGGAGGTATCAGAGAACTGACCAGCAGAGCCATTCAGCCTTAACCTGAAGTAACTTCACTGACTCACTCCCAGGCTGACTCATACCCAGGCATCTAGCAAGCCTGTAACTATGAACACGAGAAAACTATCTTACACTAGAGGGTGTTACATTTTGCTCCCACAAATGTACTATAAAGAAGGATTGTTCTGTTCTATGCATGGAAAATTAAAAGGGATAATTAGGTTTCTATAGGTATCTAGAACAATTCCCCTAAGATGACTTTAAAAAAAAAAGGAAAAACCTTATCTGTTGCAGTGTTTTCTGTTGTTTTGCTTTTTGAATCAAATTGTTAATATCAACACTAAGTGCTTTTATTGGTGTGTCTTAGGGGTGTAAAGTTGTTGGATCTGCTGGCTCAGATGACAAAATTAAATTTTTGAAAGAAATTGGATTTGATGAAGCTTTCAACTACAAGACAGCTGGTTCTTTGGAGGAGGCACTGAAGAAGGCATCTCCAGAGGGATATGATTGTTACTTTGAGAATGTAAGTTGGATCTGTAAGACAGGACAACTGAAAATAATCATTACTATTCCCAATTACTTAAATGTCAGTACTTCATTAGACTATGTTACAGTCTTAGGGTCGGGCTCTACTTATGTCAATACAAGACAGATGTTCCATAATGAGAAATTGAGGTAGGAGCACAGCTTTTCCATGGGGATCTATGTGTAGCATGAACAGGCAAGAAAGGATAATGGGTCTAAAAGCACATTATTAAAAATGTGTTGTGTCACTACTTTCTGTTCTGTTTGAAATCCCTGAAATCCTCAAGATAGAAGGTACTATATTCCTCAATGGCAACAGCAGTTACAGTAAGAAGGCATGAGTTCAAGGTTTATAAACTTCACTCTTAAAGAGCACTTTAAATCACACTCTAGAGACCCTGAAATTATGCCTTGTAAAAAATGTAGAACATTAGCATTACCGTTCACTTGAGGAAAACAAAACTTCTAGACAAACATACAGAGACAGCTATTGCTAACCCATTTCTGAAAATATTAGGCTTAAATCACTCTGGCATTCCTATGCTTAGCCTTTGAAAATGCAGGAGCAATCATTTGGGAAGTATAAACAACTTTCATGCTTTCCATACCATGTTCTGGTGTTCCTTCTTTTAAATAATTGGACATGTTAAGGCTAGGTTCACACATATGCAGTGCTAAATCACACAATTTTTAGTGCATTTCAGAGGGCAGTTGCATTCCAAATTACATGCAGTTCTACTTAAACACCTTTCTCACGCGGTTCTCCAACACAGAACTAAAAGCAAAAAATCGCACAGGATACATGTGAATCCCGTTGAACACTGTATAATACAAAATTGGATCACACTCCTGCAAACTCACACAGGACCCTTTTATAAAAATGCTCTGCGGCTCCACCACATATATATGTAATGCTACTCCCATAGGAGCTACAGGGATACTGTCTAGGTCCTCCCCAAATTCCTTGTCCTGCAGCCAGGCACATTCACTCGTTTCTCCAATAATCAGTCTAGGGATGTTGTTTTTATTTTTGAAGAATAGGGATATCGATTAGGGAGATGAGTGGGATACTCCAAATAAACAAACTATGTTCACTGAGGACTTTATCTAATTTTCAGAACAAGCTATATTTGAGTCTGTGCTTGAATCAAACAGCAGTAACTTCTTTAGAGCAAAGAGCCCAGGCAGATGGACAAAGCTCTTTGGAACACCAGCCAGGATTCCCAGGGCTGCCATCAGGGGGGACAGCCCCTACACATGTAGGGGGGCCAGGCATCACCAGGGCCATCTTTGACGTTAACCTGCTGCTGTCAGAGCGGACTGCCAGGATGCAGAAGAGGGTGGAGTGGTGGGTGGATCCCAGGTGTGTGCCTGTCCCACTGTCCACCTCCTGTCACACTCTGCCCCTCTAATCCCCCTGCCCCCCTCCTGTTTCACTTCCCCCACCTGTCACACTATCTCCCTTCTGTGGGGGGAGGAGAGGGGACTGGAGGAAGCGGAGGAGATGGGATTGGAGCAGGAGATGGGATGGAGGAGATGGGACTGGAGGAAGACATGGGACAGAGGAGATGGGACTGGAGGAGGACATGGGATGGAGGAAATGGGACTGGAGGAGAAGGACATGGGATGGAGGAGATGGGACCTGAGGAAGAGGACATGGGATTGAGGAGATGGGACTGCAGGAGGAAGAGAACATGGGATGGAGAAGATGGGACCGGAAAATGAGATGGGATGGAGGAGATGCAATTGGAGAAGGAGTAGATGGGATTGGAGAAAGAAGAGGACATAGGATGGAGGAGATGGGACTGGAGGAGGAAGAAGACATGGGATAGAAGAGGAGGAGAGCATGGGATGGGGAATGTAAGACTAGAAGAGGAGGACGTGAAATGGGGGAGATGGAACTGGAAGAGGAGGACATGAGATGGGGGAGATGGGACTGGGATAGAAATGGAGGAGGAAATGGGATGGCTAGTGGGCAGATTTGGTGGGATTACCAGTGGGCGAGCCCTGGGGAATGTTGGAGGTGGCTGCGTAAGGGGCCCCAAAATTTCTGATGGCTGCCCTGGGCGTCCCCTTTGCTAAACCCACAGCTGACTTTGTTTCACCAGAGAGGTTTAAACAGCACACAGTCTAAGATCCTTAGGGATATCTGTACTCACAAGGCCCAAGAGCAACTGGATGCCTTCCTCCGTGATACCAGGCCAGATATTCAGGAGATAGCCCCTTAGTCAGCATAGCAAAACCCAGGTCTCAGCAATTCAGGTGCTCAGGTAGTCCACTTGAGGCCTACAGCAGCAGCTGCCTGGGAGTGTAACATGCCTTCTCCCAGGCCAGGGCAATCCTAGCCAGGAAAGACCCAGAGCTCTGTGTCCCCATTGAATAAATAACGTTACCTAGCATGTGTTGGAGCCCCTCACTCTGGGAAAGGCTGAGGATGTATCACCCAAAAACATCTGCAGTCTCCTGGATACAGAGAAAGCTAGGCAGACTAACAGCACCTGAGCACAAAGAGCAGACCTTACGAAATGATCACAGCTCACTCAGTACAGTGAGCTGACTATACTTTTACCTAGCAATAATTACAGGCACTATGACTACAGAGTGACAACTGAATTTACCTATCAAAAACATTACTAATATTATTTGTCTAATCCTACCACCTACCTAGGAGGGCGTTACATCTATAAAGTCTCCATTGAAACATTTTGGTTTGAATGTCCTCGGAATCGTGCCAGTTAAAATGCATTCAAAACAATGCATTCACATACACTGCTAAAAAAAAATTAAAGGAATAATTTGAAAACCCATCAGATCTCAATGGGGAAAAATATCATGCTGGATATCTATACTGATATGGACTGGGTAATGTCTTAGGAACATAAGGATGCCCCATCGTTTGAATTCAGTCCTCTGTAGGTTGATAATTTTCATTTCCATCAAAGACACCCTGAAAATCAAAGTGACAAAATGATGCAGCAGGCTAGCCCACTTTGCTGAAATTTCAGCGCAGCAACTCAGAATTGTACTCAGTAGTTTGTATGGTCCCCACGTGCTTGTATGCATGCCTGACAATGTCGGGGCATGCTCCTAATGAGATGACGGATGGTGTTCTGGAGTATTTCCTCCCAGATCTGGACCAGGGCATCACTGAGTTCCTGGACAGTCTGAGGTGCAACCTGGCGGTGTTGGATGGATCAAAACATGATATCCCAGAGGTGTTCTATTGGATTTAGGTCAGGCGAGCATGGGGATCAGTCAATGGTATCAATTCCTTCATCCTCCAGGAACTGCCTGCATATTCTCACCACATGAGGCCGGGAATTGTCATGCACCAGCAAAGGCTCTGACAATGGGTCCAAGGATTTCAACCTGATACCTATTGGCAGTCGGGGTGCCATTATCTAGGCTGTAGAGGTCAGTGTGTCCCCCCATGGATATGCCTCCCCAGACCATCACTGACCCACTACCAAAAGGTCATGCTGAACGATGTTACAGGCAGCAGAACTTTCTCCACAGCTTCTCCAGACCCTTTCATGTCTGTCACATGTGCTCAGGGTGAACCTGCTCTCATCTGTGAAAAGCACAGGGTGCCAGTGGTAGACTGGTGTTCAATGGCAAATGCCAATCGAGCTCTGTGGTGTTGGGCAGTGAGCACAGGGTCCACTAGAGGACGTTGGGCCCTCAGGCCACCCTCATTAAGTCTGTTACTGATTGTTTGGTCAGAGACATTCACACCAGTGGTCTGCTGGAGGTAATTTTGTAGGACTCTGGCAGTGCTCATCCTGTTCCTCCTTGCACAAAGGAGCAGATACTGGTCCTGCTGGTTGGCCTAAGAACCTTCTACGGTCCTGTCCAGCTCTCCTAGAGTAACTGCCTGTCTCCTGGAATCTCCTCCATGCTCTTGAGACTGTGTTGGAAGACACAGAAAACTTTCTGGCAATGGCATGTATAGATGTGCCATCTTGAAGGAGTTGGACTGCCTGTGCATCCTTTATAGGGTCCAGGTATCACCTCAAGCTACCAGTAGTGACACTGACCCTAGCCAAATGCAAAACTAGTGAAAAGATGAGTAAGGAAAATAAATGTCAGTGGCCTCCACTTATAAAACCATTCCTGTTTTGGGGATTGTCTCATTGTTGCCCATCTAGTGCACTTTTCATTAACACCAAAGCATCTGAAACTGATTAACAAACCCCTCTGCTACTTAACTGACCAGATCAATAACCCAGGAGTTTAATTGGCTTGATGCTATACTCTGATTAATAAGTGTTCCTTTAATTTTTTTGAGCAGTGTATATGAATCAGGGCTTAGGTAAGTTCTGCCACTGGATATACATAATTCTATCCTCTCTAAACATAGCTAAACTGATTGCTTCTAAACACAGTAAATTCTCAATCTGAATGTCACCATTGAAAACTCATGCCATGTATTTTTATGTGTTTTACAAATGTCCCCTAAATGCAATTACAATCAGGTTTGACAGTGTGGTGTGAATGAGGCAGTGGCCTGTATTCCTCTTTCAGTACTTTGAGACACCAACCAGAAACAAGTGTGCAGATTAGAAAGTTACAGAAAGGCCAGAGCTTCTGATCAGTGACTTAGAAAATACAGAATTTATTGAATCAGTCTAGCAGCACATATTTTCATTACATTCCTGGAGGCATATAGAAATGGATGTGGTAACATAGGATGATGTGCCAAAAGGCCAAAAATTTTGGACACCTCCTGACACCATGTCTGTATCAACTTGTTGGATATATCTTTTCCAAACCATGGGCATTAATATGGAGTTCCACCACCTCTTTGCAGCTATAGCAGCCTCAATTCTTCTAGGACCGCATTTCAAGCAATTTTAAAGTGTGTCTCTTTTCTCCTATTTCCTTATACATTCTATAGCAGCTCAGGTACCGTGCTTCCTTAAAACGGTATTAAAGTGTTACTAAACCCAGGATCCTGCTTTCACTATATCTGGTCTCCCACAGTACACACAACATAGAAATGCAATTATTTTAGTAAAAAATAAATTGCTAAATACCTTTTCTCATCAGCAGTATATAGCAGTCTTGTGACTTCTATTAGTGTCCAGCTGAGCACTAGTTAAAGCCTGTAGGAGGAGTTTTCATTTTCCTCTGACTGTCCTATGAGACCACATAACCCTTGGCCCTTTGTGTGCTGTGCAATGCTGATTGGCCCTGTGCTGATCACATGCACACTTCCAAAGAAAAAAAACTCACTAGCAATATACACTAAACTGAGCATGTGCAGAGTGACTCCAAGAGCACTGTGCCATCAGCAGACAGATTGGGGACAGTAGAAGAAGGGGAGGATCACAGAGGACAGGATCAAGTATCCTTTTTACACAGGTTACACAGTGAGAATAGCAAGCATGCTTTACTGCATATACAGACTGATTTTTACTGTTATGGGTTTAGTAACACTTTAAACCCCCGCAAATATAACATATTGCAGTTTACCAATTCTTAGACGTATTAAGGCTTTTTCTCCTTTATTTTCACTTGGTAATCCAGCCAGTATGTCTGTTATATCTCAACCTCTTTAAGCAGACCAAGATGTCCAGCAAAAGTGCCAGTTAGAGAATTGAGACAAACCATTTAACATGGGCAGAGATGATTACAATGGTTAGCTTTTATTCATTTATGTAAAAACTTATCCAAAAAGTGCCAAGTATCCAAAAAAATGTTGCCGTAACTGCTTGAAAAATGTTAGCTGATAATATAATTGTTGGAAAACAATAAACACAGATGATACAAAAAAAAGTTATCTGGAGTTCAGTTTTAATTTTACTACCCTCTTCTCAGACTGACAATGCTGCTGTCTACAGGTTGCTCCTTCAGTAGTATAGAAACAACATAAAGTGTGTAACTGTCCACATAACGTGGTGAAAATAAAGGGGAAAAAAGCCTAAAAAGGAAACACATGCAGCCAACACATTTAATTATTGGTATGTTGCAATACATTTTGAAAGGACATACAGTATATCTTCTTTTCAATGGTTGTTCTGTAAATGTATTGGTTTTCACACATGAATCGCTATTCATTGGTTGTGTCCATGTAGGTTGGTGGATATTTCGCCGATGTGGCTTTACAACAAATGAGACCATTTGGAAGGATTGCTGTTTGTGGAGCTATTGCTCTATACAATGATGAAGTCCCCCGAAAAGGTAAACATAATCCAAGTGTATTTGTTACCCCTGTTTAGAACAAGAGGTATGTTGCTGCTCTGAAGTGTACATAAACCTTAGATGACAGTCTCCCTACGCAAATGACCTTTCTTAGTGAATTAAGAGATTGGAAATCTTATCTGATTTTACTTCTAACATAAACCAGAGTGATGCTTGTCTGTGGGGCATGAAAATGCCTATAGCCATATGGAGCTATTCATATCATGCATGTCTGACTTTCCAGTATCTATATGCGCAACCAGAGCTATTTCCATGTATTTGGCTATTTAAATTTTATTCATTTTTAAACTTTGCAATATCCAAGTGAATGTTTATCACAAATAGAGCTTTCTTTTGGTATTTTTTACATGTATAGCTTTGGATAGAAAAAAAAATAAGAAGTTTGCTGTAAAATCTACTGCTAGACTTGACAAAGACAATGTTCACATGAGGTGGAATAATAAATTCCGAATTCCTGAGGATTTTGGGAACTCTAGTCCAAACACTAACTCATGGTCCCATTTACACCAATTGCGGTGCAGAAAATGCACGTTTTCTGCATTTCCAGCAAGTACACTGCCCTTGTTAGATGCATGTGGGTTCCATTAACTCTTAATAGCACCCCAAACACATCTTGGAAACATGTGTAGTAGGCCACCAAACCGCATTGTTATCGCAGTACCATGCGGTATGATGTACAGTGATTTTAAAAGCCACACCTGATGTACTTTTTTTGAGCATTCCAGCACATTTGGAAGCTCATTAAAATGAATGCATTCAGGTGTGAACTGGCTCTAAAACTAGCAATGTCTCAATCCTGCTATTGGCCCAATCATGCTGCAATAAAAATGGTAATTGGTGGTATTTGGCATTATTTTAATTGCATACCCACCTAAACAGAACAAACACATCCCTTTTATACAAAAAATGACTGGGATATTGCCAGTCACAAATACTATTTTTGGGCCTATTGCCACATTCATACATTCAGGTACAACCATCCCAAATTCCCGTCTATCCCTCTTCAAGGGGGTGAGGGACCGTATGACCACTCTGATGCTCAATGAACAGATGTCGAGTATCTGTAATGACTCCCTGGAAATTTTTGAAAATATGGGAGCCGTCGTTGACATATGCTTTTCCCATGCTCCTCCTGGTTACTCTGGGGTTCTGATGTTGTTCAGTATTGGCGTTCCTGGACTCCTGCTCCTGGTCTTGTTTTCTTCTTCCTTTTCTACTCCTCTTTCCTTTCTATTTTTGTTTGTTTTTTTTGTGTGGCGGTGGATAGCTGCCTTTGAGCTGCTGTCAGTGTTATATCACTGTTTTTGTAATCTATGTGCCATTGATAGCCCCTGCGTGGGTGCACCTTTTGCTCTGTTGGTGTTAGAGCACTGTTTTCTTTACTTTTATGTGCAATTGATAGCCCATGCGTAGGCGAGTCTTGTTGCTCACGTTTTCTTGAAATGTTTATAAATTAATAAAAACCATTGAAATACAAAAAAAAATTACTTCATATATCCAGAAAATCTCTTTAAAGAGACATTGTTATTAAAAGGGCAAACTGCTGAAGGTATAATATATTCCTAAACCATCTTGACATTTCTTGGCTTTGACAGGCAAAGCTCCACCAAGTCCAATAATTGTATGCACTTGCAACAAAGCTCTCCCATGTTCCTATAGGCCAGTCATTGGCTGATTGATTAGCAACATTACAAGCCACTTGGAATGTTCAGGGGGTGTGCATCCATGGCAGAAAGATTTTGAAGGCTGCTTCAGCTATGTGCAGGTAATTCCAAGTGCATGAAAATCAAACGTAAAACAGTTATCCAGCAAGTTCTCCATAAATTTGGTTTTGGTCCACAATTCATTCAATGGATAAAAATTGTCTATTCAGCTTCTATTACCTGTATTGAGGTAAATGATATCCTGTCTGATCCTTTTACTCACTTTCATGGTACATGGCAGGGACGTACGCTTGCCCCACTTTTTCCTTTTCCTTTAGAGCCACTTGCTGCTGCCATTCGGGAATCTCCAGATGTTGTTGGTTTTCGTAGGTACACTGGCAAGGACAAGATAGCTTGTTGAAACCTTGTTTATTTTTAGGTGACACTTCTAAGTCTCTAGAGGCTGCTGTGTCCCTGATCTTGACCTATGAGACGTTTTCTGGATTTAGGCCCCATGCACACGGGACACTTCTGAACGATGGAAACTGACTGCTGGAAAAAGTAGGTTAAAAAAACGTCTGTTTAGCCGTGTTTGCATAATGCGTTTATGCGTGTTTATGCGTGTTTGCGTTTATGCGCGTTTTTTAAAGATAAGCACAGGAGGACCTCCCAAATGCCCAGAATGCACGGAAAAGTGGTAAATTATTAACTATTTCAGACTGTTTCAGAGAAATACAGAGAGTAGAAGCAGAGAGAGCAGTATGTGCTGAGATTAGCTTAGGTGTGAGTTGCTCATTAACATTTCTTTTGTTTCCAAGGGTGGGAAAGGTGTCTGGTGGAGTGAGTCATTAAGGCCACCTAGCAGGGTCTGAGGAATTTGAGGTGTGAATGGTCATTAACATATCTTTTGTTTCCAAGGGTGGGAGAGGTCTGAGGTGTGAATTGGTCATTACAATGTGTGACAAACTTGGTAGGAACATCCTGTGTTCAGTGTTTTGTCCATTTGAGTACCTAGAAAATGATTTGCATGCATTTTTCATGCTGGAAAAAGGCTCTGGACAGCATCGGGAACTGGAAGAATTAAAAAAAAATTTCAAACGCAAACGCTTATAAACGCGATTTACCGCGTTTACAAGCATTTACAAGCATTTTGCATTTGAAATGCTGATAAAATTGACTGCTGAACGCACGTTTTCTGCCTTCAAAAAAACAACTGTAAACTCAAATGCCTGTAAATGACTGTAAACGAAGATGTGTACATGGACAAATAGGAAAACATTAGGGAGAGTTCAGGGGCTGCTGAAAAAAAAGCTGAACAGCTCCTAAACATGAGTTTATCAGCTGCAGTGTACATGAGCCCTATCAGTTGGGAAATATCTGTGTTTGTGCCATGCGATCTTATTTGTGATGATTTAACCCCTGTGGCTAGCCAGATAGTTTTAGTCACCTATCCAAGATAGGAAGGAGCGCACCCGACATACCTGTATGTCCTTACTAAAACATAGCTTTTATTAGCACAACTGGTAAAATTACAGTGAGAGACACATGTTTCAGTAAACAGTCTTAGTCGTAGCTATGAATGCAATCCAAATGTAGAAGAAAAAATTTTGGCTTCACATACCTGTTAATAATTCTGTAAATCCTGGGTTCTGCAACATTATACACAAGCTTTACATATGGATAAAGATATATATGTTCAGACATCTGATTGTAATTTTCAAATCTTGTTGGACTCAGGTGAAAATAACCATAGTTTTTTTTTTTTTAAAATAAGGATCCTTATCCTAACGTGTTAGGTTTTTTTTATTTGGTCTATTGACCATGCATATGTTTACACATATGCATGGTCAATAGACCAAATAAAAAAAAAAAAAACTACAGTCTAGGATAAGGATCCTTATTTTTTTTAAAAAATTGAAGGTTTTTAAGATTTCAAAAGGATTGTTTTTAATATATGTAGTTATATATAATGTAGATAAATATGTAGATTTATAATGTCCATTATTAAAAGATTATGATACTTGTGAATGGATTAGAAACGTTGCCTTTTTACTCTTTTAAACTTACACATGGGCAGGAAGGCATTGATTGCCTAAAGCCAAACTCTGGGCACAAAAACTTTCATTAAATAAAAAAAAATGTAATATATTGCAGCTTACCAGTCATTAGTGGTGGTGGCAGCATTAGTTTTTTTTGTAGGCTTTTTTTCCCTAGTGATCTGGCCAGTAACACACCTCTTGTATTAGAGTGCCCCCACTCTGGATGAAGAAGCACAGGGGCACCTTTGCATACCAGCATTGTCAGCCGGGGGGGAAAGTGTTAGATATACTAGCAGATTTACATACACTAAACAAATCCAAATTCCAACACTTTTTAAGCAGTTGTAGCAAACAGTTTCTTTCCTTTTGGGATAAAGGTATTACAAAAAATGAAAGTTGATCATTGTAAGCACCCATGTCAGTGGTACATGGTTTGTCACAACACTCTAAATTGATACATCTGGAAGAGAACTTGTTCTTTTGGAAAAAATACCAGATTTACTGTCCGGATCACCAGAGAAGAATAGAAAAAGAAAACTAATGCAGCCTTTGCCTCATCTGGAATATGCAGTTCAATTTTGGGCAGCGATTCACAAAAAAGAACATTGGGGAACTGGAGAAAGTACAAAGAAGGGCAACCAAACTGATAAGAAGCATGGAGGAGCTCAGCTATGAGGAAAGATTAGAGGAACTGAATTTATTATCTCTTGAGAAGAGGAGATTAAGGGGGGATGTGATCAACATGTATAAATACATCAGTGGTTCATATAGTGAACTCGGTGTAGAGCTATTCACCCTGAGGTCATCACAGAGGACAAGGGGGCACACTTTATGTCTGAAGGAAAAGAAATTTAATCTCCAAACACGGAAAGGTTTCTTCACAGTGAGAGCTGTGAAAATGTGGAATGGACTCCCTCAAGAGTTGGTTCTGGCCAGCTCAGTGGATTGCTTTAAAAATGGCCTGGATTGTTTCTTAGATACACAGAATCAGGGGCAGACTGACAACTCATGGGGCCCCCGGGCAATAGGGGATCATGGGGCCCCTGTATCCTTGCCCAAACTCAAAAAAGCCTATGAAAAAGGTACCAGGGGCATCTCATGGGGCCCCCTACTGACCCCGGGCCCTCGGGCAGTGCCCGAGTTTCCAAATGGTCAGTCCACCCCTGCACAGAATATAACTGGATACTAACATGTATAGGTAAAGTTGATTCAGGGAATATCCGATTGCCCCTCGGGGGATCAGGAAGGAATTTTTCCCTGCAGGAGCAAATTGGATCATGCTTTGCTGGGTTTTTTTTTGCCTTCCTCTGGATCAACTGTGGGTATAGGATTATAACTTTTTTTTTAATGGTTAAACTAGATGGACTTTTGTCTTTTTTCAGCCAGACTAACTATGTAACTATCTAAGAATTGGTAAGCTGCAATATAATAAATGTTTGCGTTTGTGTTTATTACTGCTTTACAATTTATTCCTCAATAGACATAGAGGATATAAATCCAATTTGTGTTCACCTAGAACCTTTCCAAACCTAGTTATTACCCTATGAAAGTATCAATGACATAACTATGCTGCACGTCACTTGAACAGATAGCTGAACTAGGGGAGACAGCCAGCAGATCCACCCACTACAGACTGCTTGTAGAAAACTACAGGAGAGGTAGATACAAGAGCAGTCACCCCCCACAGGAGGAAAGAGCAACAATGACTGGTCTTTATTACATTGAATAATGGGAGGTTAAGTTTCACACTGGATTAATGCACAGATCTGGAGGAAATACACAAAGAAAACTGAGATTCAAGTAAGAACACACATGCATATTATATTTAGACAACATCTGCTTATTGCAGAGTTCAGCTTTGTTTTTGCAATAAATATCATATCCACATGCCAGCCTGCAATCTAAATCTACAATCTGTATCTTTCTTGCAGGGGAATATGTCCATTTCCCATTAATCTTCAAACAATTGCGAATGGAGGGATTCACAGTCCAACGGTGGCTAAACAGATATGACGAGGGTCTCGAGAAACTAATGCAATGGGTAGTAGAGGTAACTGATGAGCATTTATCCTAATACTATGTATTATATTTTACTTTGTTTGGGATAGATTGGGAAAGGAATATGCCTCTAATGGGTTTTCTGTTGCTGGTTGTATTACTACTGGCTAGATTTCCATTCACTTTCACAGGACAGGAAGTGATATGAAATCTCTCCAGCAGTGATACAGTAAACACAAAACAACATTTTTAACAGAGTGGAGAAGGGTAAGAACTTCAATGATTATTTTGCCATGGCTGTATATCTCAGTGACATCTCCTCCCCTTATTTCTTGTTCTAGTCCTCTAAAAGAACAGGAAGTAAGAAAAAATCACCCAAAGGGGTCACAGGCAATAATAAATACTTGAAAAAAAATGTTAAATCTTCCAAATTATTTTCAAAAAAAGAAAAACATGGCTTTATTAGGCTTTAACTGTGGTAAAACGTTAACGTGGACCTGGATTCAAAAAGTGGAGATTTGCTATTTTGAAGGTAACATAGAAATGTGAATTGTGCCTAAGCTGAAACACAAAAAATGTATCTTTTATCTTCAGTTTCTCCTGAAAATAGCAGTGCGTTTCCCGTGCTCAGGCACTGCTTTCTGCCTCATAGCTGTACATATGCAGTGTAAGTTCTAAGTCACTGTGCCTCTGGCTGCTAGTCTCAGAGGATTTGGAGTGCGATTTAATGATGCTACTACTGTGCTGTTCACTGTTCTCCTTGCTGGAGTGAAAGCTGCAGAGAAAAAAATCTTCCTGCTTCTATGTAATTTGGTTTCTAAGAATCTCTTACTTCTGTTTTATTATTTTTCTATCAGTCACCAAACCACCAGTTATCGAGGGGCAGCTCCGACCTGAGAGAGCAATGTCCCATATGTACCAAGATGGCTGCCCCCCACACACAAAGCCACAACATGGAATGTCAGTCCTGGGGAAAAGATCAGCTGGACAGAGCATAGGCAATACTGGTGCCTAGTCCTTTGCCCTCTCCCTGCCTTTCACTGAGCACAGTTTCCGGTTCTCTTTAAACTGCTTTCCCTGCCGCTCTATAGCAGATATACTGCTACAGGGCAGCAGGGTGTGCAAAATCACATATATATGTGATTTCGCATTTCCGGGTAGGGGGCGCGCATGAGCCCTACCCACGCTGCTGTTTGCGGCCGTGGCTGTAAATTACCAGGTCCCGGCCGGTGATTACCTGCCGACACCCGGTGATTACCTGCCGACACCCGGTGATTACCAAGCATCTCCGATGGGGAGGAGGACTGTTTTGTTTACTAACAGTTCTCCTTCCTGTCAGCTCGGGCACACACTGTTTTTGGATGGCTGTGCATAGCATAGCCATCCAAAGCAGTGTGCTTACAGTGAAGCACACTGACACAGCCCCCTAGTAAAACACTCCCTGCACACAATAAACCCTTTGATTGCCCCTCATGTTAACCCCTTCCTGCCCAATGTTATTAGTACAGTGTCAATGCTTTTTTTTTAGCACTGATCACTGTATTGGTGTCACTGGGGATGTCAGTGACACCAGGTCAGTTCCCCCCAGTGTCAGAATGTCCGCCGCAGTCCCACTATAATTCACTGATCACTGCCATTACTACTAAAAGACATGTAGCAGAATACATTTTGGGCTAAATTTATGACGAAATTTGATTTTTAAATTTTATTACTGGACATGTTTGATAGCAAAATTCAAAAATATTGTGTTTTTCTCAAATTGTCAGTCTTTTTTTTTTTTATAGCACAAAAAATAAAAAACCGCACAGGCGCTCAAATACTGCCAAAAGAAAGCTCAATTCGTGGAAAAAAGGACGTAAATTTCATTTAGGTGCAGTGTTGCATGACCACGCAATTGTTAGTTAATTGTAAGTAACACAGTGACATAACGCAAAAAATGGCCTGGTCAGGAAGGGGAGTAAATCCTCAGGAGGGCAAGCGGTTTAATATACAGAAGGGCTGCATTTGCTAAACTTGTAATCAATGCTGGAAACAAAATGGCATCAGATTAGCAGTACTGTTACCTTCAAATAATTTGTTTTCTTTTTGAATTCTCATTGGATGCTTCATTTTACTTCGATAACTTCCAAAATATTGTAAATTCTGCCCATACTACAAACTGATCAGCTATACACTCATGAGTCTATTCATAAATGTTTTCACTCAATAGTCATGCAGTTTTCACTTGAAACTGACATGTTTTAAATTGGATTCAATTGGAAAAATGTGTGAATCCTGAGTGAACGTTGTGTGAATCTTGTATAAAAATGGTAATAGACTCTTTAGTTTTATAGGTATGCCCACACTAACACTACGGCTCTGTTGGAACCTTAGTACAGCACGAATGTGTGCATCATCATGTGTGTTCATGCAAAGCATGAAAGCATGTGTTATGGGTTGTGCGGTATGCTGCTGTGGTGTTATTAGATCTTAATTGCACCCGAAAGAACCTTGCTAACAATTGAACATTTTAGTGTGTACGCTATAACTTACTGTGCATTGTAATACATTTTAGTGTGGTAGGAAGCCCCATCAAATGAAAGGGCTGCCCTACGCAATGCATGGTAACACACAAAATAATGCACATTACCAGACTGGTTAATGCATCTCAGAGGTGTGAATGTAGCGTAATGTGTTCCACTATTTTAGTGACATACTGTAGTTTCACATGAGTACAGTGGTGTATTTAAGTTTTGCACTGCCCTAGGCAACACAAAATCCCCCCCCCCCCCCCACACCCGGAGAGAGCCTGACATTGACCAACAACACCCCTGCCCCCCCCGTCCCACCCGAGAGAGCCTTCCACTACCATCGTTCCCATACACTGGCCACTCCCCTCCCAGCGAAAGAGACACTCACCTTCACAGCTCTGGACATCCCTAGGAACGAGAGTCAAGCAGCCCGCAGCCTCTCTCACATGCCAACTGGTCCCCAAGCCGCATGTGTCCCTTCTTCCATCCCTTCTTCCAGGGGGCCGGTGCTGCCCTCTTGAAAAATGCCGCCCTAGGCAAATGCCTTGTTTGCCTTATGGTAAATATGCCCCTGCATGAATATACACTTCAACAAGATGACTAGCTTGATAGAATATTAGAATAAAGATATCCAGACAATACTGACTATTCTGTAAGGAAAATAAATGATTGTAGGAAAGAAAACCTATATCTACCACCTTAAGGCCCCTTTCACACGAGGCGGAATCCACTTGATCAGAGGGTAATCTATCCGCTGATCCTTCACTGAGCAGAGTGGAGTGGGCTGATGACAGGTCCGTGCTCACTCCGCGTACGCAGAATGGACACAGCCCACTCTGCTGTATGGGCGGTTGGATGTAAACTGACCTGCTGTACTTGTCCACCGACTGCCCTCCAATCCACTTATATGGAGGGGAATGGATCCCCTTCTGCTTCTTTTTAGCGTATCGGATTGGAGGTAGGATGGTTTAAATTGACACAATTCCATTTACATCCTCTGCTCTATAGAGGAGAATGGAGGGTCTGCCTGCAAACAGACAAGCAGACCCCACCAAACCGATCAAGTGAAAGGGGCCTTATGGCCCCATAAAAATTGTAGTGTTTCACCGTAAACCGATTTTCATGTTTTCATGTGGTAAATAGTTGCTGTAAAAAGTTAAAGTAATATTAAAGGCATTTTTTAAAAATAGAAATGTCATACTTACCTGCTCTGTGTAATGGTTTTGCACAGAGCAGCCCTGATCCTTCTCTTCTCTTGTCCTCCCCTGACACTCCTGGCCGCTCCCTCTTGGTAAGTGCAGACAGAGCAAGCAGCTTTGGGCACCCATCCAGGCTCAATCCTGAGCTGCTGCTCTGCTTGTCCATTCACACACAGAGCCGCAGCCCGACCCCACCCCCCTCCCTCTCCTCATTGGCTTAATGGCTGTGATTGACAGCAGCAGGGACCACTGCTGTCTCAGCCAATGAGGAGGGAGAGTCCCCAGAGAGTCAAGGCTCTCGTGCACATCGCTGGATCACAATGGGGCTCAGGTAAGTATTGGTGGCGCTGCTGCACACAGGTTTCTTTTAGCTTCATGCATAGAATTTATGAAGGTAAAAAACCTTCAGCCTTTACAACCATTTTAGGTGTTGCAGTTAGCGCTGCCACTTTTTCTGGGAAAAAAAGACTGGCCTCATGGTCTCATCCCTCATCCCTATTAATAACATTGGCAATAAATCTTATTTTTGCTGACCAGACTAATAAATAACTAGCAAGGTGGCAACCCTAGTTGCAGCAATTGCAACATAAATGGGGCGATTGCGGGTGCAATGCTCTACAGGCATCTTTGAAAAGAATAACAAATACACCTTTTTTTTTTTCCCTGCAAAAATATGTCCATGTAATATTTTTTTTTTAACACTTCTATCAGATTTTTTGTCTCTTGCGACCCCCAGTGGGTTTTTTGTTTTTTTTTGCACTTCACATCCTGTCCCTGTAATACCATGTCAAAAATGGGGCAAGTAGTTATCACTGGGACTGGAAAGTACAGACAGAAATAAAAACATTGTCATATGTTCAAAACCTTCCCTGCACCACTGAAAGGCCTCATTCACAAGGGCTTACTGTTTAGCACACCCCTGCGAAGGGCCATCATCACTTGCAGAGGATACGGGATCACAACTGTTCCAGGCAGCCATGTGCAGGCAGCCTGTTCAAATCAATGACATCTGCATGGATCCAGTGCATGGATCAGCATGGCATTTTGAGCCATGCATTAGTCCCACTCAGATGTACGCTCTGGGATGCGCTTGGAGATCCATGCACATCCGTGCAACCGGCCACCTGTCATTGATCTGAACAGGCTGCTTGCACACAGCTGCTCACAACTGCACAAGTGTATGAGGCCAAAATGTGTTTGTCTGTTTATGTATATATAGTCAGGGATTATAATTATTAACATTTTTGATGTATAGTATATGACATATCTTACCTACACAAATCAGTACAACAGTGACTCATTTGTGGTTATTTCTCATTTCACAGGGGAAGCTGAAGTACCATGAGCACATCACTAAAGGCTTTGACAACATGCCCTCTGCATTTATTGGAATGTTGAAAGGAGATAACATTGGCAAAGCCATAATAACAGCAAAGTAATGTCATTATGCATTGGCTGTGGAGAGTGATAAACACTGATTTATATTCAGCCACAGATGCTTTCTGTATTATGGGGCCACCTTTTAAAGGTCAAAATTGCTATTCTGTCAATTTGTTTTCATTAAAAATATCCATTCTGAAAGTTTCACCTGGTAATAAACATGTTCTGGGCAATATCCCATGTCTGTATTTTAACCAAATTAATTAAAATTATTTGCTGAAGTCTATTTTGTAAATAGTTTACCAGTTTTAAAAAATTGTTTTTGTCCTAAGAATTGCATTAGAAATTTACAGCATTCTTAATTTATGGTAATCTGTTGTATTCAGTGAACAGGTAGCATCATTTTTTACAGTTTGCATATTTTTTTCACCAACCCATCCACTCGCCAATCTTTTTACCCTGCATTTTAATTGGAAGTCCCTGTATCAAACTTTTATGAACAATAAAAAATAAAAGTTAAATATCAAGTAAAAAAAAACATGCAGTGAAATGAAAGCCAAATAGTTTGGCAGTTTTTATAAATAGGCATTGTAATCAAAAAGTTTTTGCGGCAAAAAGAGCACTAAAAGCCGAAAATAGGCCTGGGCTGGAAGGAGGTAAAGTGCCCAGTATTGAAGTGGTTAAAAAAATTCATACAGTTAAATTGATTTATTTTTAAACCATTCCCCAATTCCAAGAAGAAATTGCAATTTTGCCCACTGCAAACTACAGCTAATTACGATAACTGTATGCCGCATAAAAACAATTTTGCCCCCAGAGTGGATTCCTTATGGGTAATATGTTCAGAGTAAGCATATGAGGGATTTTCTTTTCTTACTCTATTTTTATACCTACAAATCAGTGCCAAATAAATGCAGCATTAGTTTTATCCAAACATTTCCAAAATATCCAAAAAATAGTGGCTTTAGTAAATATTTCCATACCCCATTTTAAATGTTTCTTTAACACTAGACAATGGGGTTGATTTACTATAGGCAAATAAACTGTGCAATTTGCATGTGCAGTTGCTCCAGAGCTTAGTAAATGAAGTAAAGCTTCACTTTACAAAGAATAACCAATCATGTAAGGAAAATGTAAAAAAAATGCATTTTTGCTTGTACATGATTGGATGATGGAAGTTAGCAAAGCTCCTCCTTATTTACTAAGCCCTGGAGCAACTGTACTTGCAAATGTACAGTCTATTAGCCTTTAGTAACTCAACACTATTGTGTTTTTCTTTTTTTTTCAAAAGCAAGTCTAATAAAAAGAATCTTTAAAGATTGGTTTAAGGACCAACTCTCTTCTCCTGCTGTACATTCCCCCTGTTCAATATCTTCAGTTCCCTGTTCTCCTCTTCCGTGCCTGCTCTACTCCCCTGCACAAAGGATCTCCTTTCAGTCCATCCCTTCAAGACTCTTGTTCTTATATCTGCAATGTCACCTCTATACTCTCCTGCTGAAAGTTAATATAGAATAGTATCCACATGGGTGCACCATAGTTGCAGGTAAGGTATTCAGTGCCACCTCCTATAACCTGAGACAAAGAATATCTGAAATGTGTAATACTGACTTTATAGGCACATAAACTATACACCAATTGTTACAATAAAAATAATATTTATTAACAAATCCTAAAACCATTTATCACAAGTTATCAAGTTATGCACTCAATATGTGGAATAAGGTGTATTCCTGCAAAATCAGTAGAGGCACCTAGTTGTAATACAAATATTTTAGGTGAACCAGTATTCCAATTTCTCCAGCTGCGGGGGTCCCACCTTTCACAGGTATGTTCTACATCTTTTGTGACTTGGGTCACTTCTTCAAGAGATTGTAGAGCACCTATGTAAGAGAATATGTAGAGGTAATAACCAAATATATTCATTTTGACTACATTACTGCAAATTACTAGGGTTCCCAGTAACGTAACACATATATCCTCAGACCAATCAAAATATTATTGGGCCACAACAATACAAATCAAAGTCCAAAGGAATCCTTTAGGGCAATCAAAGGAAGACTCTTATATGATATATTAACTCACTGTAAACACAAATGCATTCACACTAGGCCACTAGTCTAGTGTTTTAAAATATACCTATAATGCAGGAACTGTAGATGCTGCCATTGCTGACTTCAAGAAAAAAATGAGTAAAATGGCTTTTAGAATGGCCCACTGGCTTCACTATTTCTAAGTTAGGCTATAACAATAGAACTTCTGTACATAAATATGCAATGGTAGTTGTAGAAAGACAATATATCTACCATGTGAAATGATATGACTGGGTGGAGTACCAATTGTGTTACTAATGCCAAACTTTCCATGGGACTGGGATTTAGAAACATACGAGCTCAATGATATGATACTACTTGCACAGCAGAAAAAAAATCTAAACCTGCCAAGGCTGCAGGGTTTCCAAAGCCAACTGTCTGCTCACACTTGTTTCTTCTTGCCCACGAGCATACTAGTTTTTACACATGTCTCAAGTAAAAGAGGTTTATTTTTTTTTATAATTAAAGTAGATACAAACCCTAACTGGAAGGCATTTAGCTTTTTTTAAAAATCCCTATGTAGTATGTGACAGTATGAATACTCAGAAGCACAACTGGTAGACAGTTTTTACATTTTTATTTTATTTTTTATATTATTATTATTTATTTTTTTTACATACTGTCACCCTAACAGTACAGTGTCACCATGGTGACACTGTACTACTTGTGGGGGGTGATGAAGATTTTTTTTTTTTTTTTTACACTGATTGCTTTTACACCCATATAGGATGTAAAAGCAATCATTTCTCTTTCTCTCTGTCTGCATTCTTGCAGTCATTGAGAAGTACTGAGTGAGCTGTGATTGGTCACAGCTTGTCACATGGTACAAGGCTGTTGTGAATAGCCTTGTACCATGTGACCTCTGTGATCATTCACAGACTTCACACGTAGTAACCAATGATGTCACAAGTAACATCTTGCTTACTACTTTGCATGTGACCACTGATTGGCCAATCAGTGATCACATGATCGGGACCACGTACAGAGGTCCCGTCCGACGATCGGTGTTTCACTGTGTCCGGAGGACACAGCGGGCACCGGATCGCGGTGCTGCGTGCTCCCAGGGAGCGAACACAAGCAGGGTGTGGGGAGGCCATTTATAAACGGCCACCCGACCCTGCACTGCCACCGTCCGGCCATTTATATACAACGGCCGGTTGGGAAGTGGTTAATAACGCCGGTAACGTTAGCTGTGTAAAGTCGCATTAAAAACGTGAGTTTTTCAGCATTTTTTTAGCGTTTTTGTATTAGCATTTTGCCGCGTTTTTTTCGCTTTTTTTTTTTTTGTGACAAACAAAAACATTTTTTTTTCGTGGTAAATCGTGGCAAACCAGAGTTTTTAGACTTTTATAAGTACACATACCCACTGTTGACACTGTCCTTGTAGATGTTTTTAAGTTATATTCTGCACTGATCACAATATTTATGCTGCAATAGTATTGAAAGAGGACCCCTAGCAGCGGGATGAAGTAAAGCATTCTTGAATTAGATATGATATGAATACAGTGGGATCTACTGTCAAGATTAATAAAAGTATCATTATAGAAAAGGACAGGTATTCCAGAAGAAAGGTGAGTAACTGCAGAGCCTAAATTACTTGCCCTACATTATGTTTAGACATGAATGCTTTCCAAAAATATTATGTTTATGATTTAACTAGTAGGAACAAGATGGGAGCTTATGCTAAATCCATGATCATAGATGAAAATGTTACTAGGGTCTTTATTTTTTCAGGGATTTAGCAGCATAGGCTTGTTCCTGACACAGGCAAAGCTCTCTTTGTTTGCAACACTTCCTTCTAATGCAATAGCTGCCATTACATTTATTTTAAAAAATTGTCAAGCCAGGTCTGAAGTGGGAGGCATAGGTTCTACATGTAGAGTCAGTCATTTTTTTTTATATTCCTAATGTGCCCTTTTCTTCCTCCTCCTTCTCATTAAGGGCACTTTGCTGCCATATTTGTGAGCCTACTGATGAGCCATTTTCTTCCTGAATATCAGCCATTGCTCTGAAATCCTAAATTTTCTTTTCCTCTTCTTCAATGGCACATACTAATCATTTATATTAGATTGTTAATTTGCTCTTTATCTGTGACATGCAGCACCACAAAGACAAATACCCAGCTCCCATTACTTTGACCGTACACTCTTATGCCAGAACCAATATTTTTTCCCTTCATCATGTGGAATACCATGAGGCAACAAATAGTAAAAGAGCCATGGCTTGCCTGCCTTTCCCAAACAAGATTTTGGCATCAAACACTAGTTGCTGGATTGGCAAAGCTGTCCTTTGTTTGAAACATGTCATTCAATACATTTGATAAAGTAGTGTGATCTGGCAATTAGATAAACATGTATGCTTTGAAGCAAATCAAAACATCAGAATATTTCCTGATTGCCAAAGCAGGGTTTACTCCCTTGGCTGACATAGATAAAGAGTTTGACTGTGGTTAACCAGTCCAACCCTTGTGACAGAATCATCTTTTTAACTGCAAAAAAGAAAAAGGTAAAGGAAAAATGAAAAAGAAAAAACATCTGTTTACGCAGGTCATTGTGAAATTGTGTTTAGGCAGCTACTGAATAACTTACTGTTTTGTGAATGCTTTATAAATGGTTATATTTAAAAATATATTTTCTTTCTTTTTGTTCCATTGCATTACACTGACTATTGTGAATGCTTTATAAATGGTTATATTTAAAAATATATTTTCTTTCTTTTTGTTCTATTACATTAGACTGACTATTTTAACGTACCTATTAGCAATGGCACAGAGTTTCTTCATTAAAAAATGGTACTGTATACTTTTAAATATTTTTGTTAATAGGTATTAGTGTTATTATATTACCTGTGTTGTTTGTTTGCCTTACCTTGTAACCATGGGCTCACATGTGGCTGCAGTTTCTAGCATCATGGCTGACTGATTCCATGTATTC